CAGAAAATATTAAGACAATAACTGCCATACCCCAGCCCAACAATGCAGAAGAGACTGTGTCTCAAGTCTACCATGGCAGCAAAGTCTGAGTGGGAGCTTAGACTTCTACTTTTTCCAGGTGGTAATAGGGTACCCCATTCCCCTGCTGGGGTGGTATCAGAAAAAGCTAAGCAGGAAGTTAGGACTTTCAACCCTGACAGGTAGTCATGTGGTCTCCCACCCCAACCCATGGTGGAGCTGAATTTCCATCCCTGCTCAACAGTAATGAGAAACATCCCCTTTAGGGGTTAATGGGAGGAGACTGGGAACATGAATTTTTGCTTCCACCTCACAGAAACAAGGTGCCCCCCACCACCTCTGTTCTCCTGCCAAGAGAGGTGTCAGAAGTCAGCTGAAAGACAATGTTTAAATAAGAACCAGAGTCTCACAATATAATGTCCAAAATGTCCAGGTTCCAATAAAAAAATCACATACCAAGAACCAAGATCTCAAACTGAATGAAAAAAAGACAAAAGAGGCCAATGCTGAGAGAAAAGATCTTAGAATGGTCTGACATAAGAATTTAACACAGTCATCAGTGAGCCATTCTGAACACGCTTGCCACAAATGAAAAAATGGAAAGTTGCAGCAAAGAAACAAAGATCTAAAGAATCTCTGAATTCAAAGGGAAATTTTAGGTTTAAAAAGTACAATAAACTGGAACAAAAACAACAAATGCCAAAAACAAAAACCTCAAACTCTCAACAGAAGGCTCAACAGCAGAATGGAGGAAGAAAATAATCAGTGATCTCAAGACAGAAAAACGGAAAGTACCCAATGTGAATAACAGGAAAAAAAAAAATGAACAGAGCCTTATAGACCCATGGGTCTATAACAAAAGATCTAATCTTCATTCTTCTATCCCAGAAGGGGAGGAGGAAGAGGACAGGGCAAAAGAAATACCTGAAGAAATCGTAGCTGAAAATGCTTCACATTCAGCAAAAGACAGAAATCAGATTTAAGATGAGTGAACTCCAAATAGGGTAAGCTCACAAAAATCCACATAAAATCATAAACTTCTGAAAACTAAAGACAAAGAAAAAATCTTGAAAGCATCAAGAGAGAAAAGACACATTACCAATAGGGGAAAAACAACTTGAATGACAGATTTCTCATCAGAAACCATGGAAACCAGAAGAAAGTGGTACAACATTAAGAGCTGAAAGAAAAGAACTATCAACCCAGAATCCTGTATCTGGTGAAAATGTGCTTCAGGAATAAAGGGGATATTAAGACATTCTCAGACAAAGAAAAAGTAAGGATATTAAAACATCCTCAGATGAAGAAAAACTAACAGAACTGTCTGACAGTTCTCTAGACCACCTTAAAAGAGTAGTTAAAGAGATCTCTCTAAACAGAAAGAAAACAATAAAAGAAGGAATCTTGGAACACCAGGAAGAAAAAGAACACAGTAGAAAAAAATAGGGGTAAATATAGCAGACTTTCCTTTCCCTCTTGAGTTTTCTGTTATGTTTGACAGTTGAGGCAAAAATGTTAACATTATCTGCTAAGAAACAGTTAAGACAACTACATTATAAATGGCAGAGGGTAAAGGAAAAAAATGAAGTAAGGTTTTTACACTTCACCTGAACTGATAAAATGACAGTAGACTGTGATATATTACCTATAAATATATAAAACACCTAGAACCATGAAAAAGGTATTAAATACAGATAAATCACAATAAGATAATAAAAAATGCTCATGTAAACCAGAGGAAGACAGGAAAAATAAAAAAAAAGTCAGAGAACACAAAGAGAAGACATTAAATGTAAATGGTCTGAATAATAGCAACTAGAAGACAGAGATTGGCAGAGTGTATTAAAGATTATGATCTACCTGTATAGGAAACTCACTTCAAATATAATAAAGGCAGGTTGAAATAAAAGAATAAAAAAGTTATAGTTATGCAAACATTAATCAAGGGAAACTAAGAGTAGCTATATTAATTTATCAGGAGTAGCTATATTAATTTATTAGATAAAGTACACTTCAGAGCAAAGAAAATTACCAGAGACAAGAGAAGGACATTATATAATGATAATAGGGTCAATCTGCCAAGAACATATAATTCTCTCTATACATTTTTTGGCATAGAATCTCGCTCTGTTGCTCAGGCTGGAGTACAGTGGCGCAATCATGGCTCACTGCAACCTCTGCCTTCCGGGTTCAAGTGGTTCTCATGCCTCAGCTTCCTGAGTAGCTGGAATTATAGGCATGTGTCATCATGCCTGGCTAATTTCGTATTTTTTGTAAAGATGGGGTTTCACCATGTTGATCAGGCTGGTCTCAAACCCCTGGCCTCAAGTGATCTGCCCTCTTTGGCCTCCCAAAGTGCTAAGACTACAGGTGTGAGTCACAGCACCTGGCAAGAACAGATAATTCTAAATATGTATGCACCAAACAGAGCTGCAAAATATGTGAAGCAAAACCCGACAGAACTGAAAGGAGAAATAAATAAATCTACAATTTGAGACTTCAATATTCTCTCAACAACTGATGAAATGACTAGACAGATAATCAGCAAGGATACAGAAAAACTCAACAGCATCAACCAACAGGACCTAGTCAATGTCTATACTGCATCCAACAAAACCAAAATGCATGCCAAGTGCCCAGTGAACATATACCAAGATATAGCGTATGCTGGGCTATAAAACAAACAACAAATTTAAAACAACTGAAATTATATAGATATGTTCTCTGATTATAATCGAATTGAACTAGAGATCAGTAACAGAAATGTAATGAGGAAATCTCCAAACACTTGGACACTAAATGATAAACACCTAAATAATTCACAAATCAAAAGAGGAAGTCTCAAGGGAAATTAAAAAAAAATACATTAAACTGAATGAAAGTGAAAATATAACACAGCAGAATTAATGAAACATAGCTAAAGCAATGCTGAGAGACATTTATAGCACTAAATGCATATATCAGACAAGTAGAAAAATTTCATATCAATAATACAGAAGCTCCCACCTCAAAAGCTAGAAAAGGGCTGGGCACAATGGCTCATGCCTTTAATCTCAGCACTTTGGGAGACCAAGGAGGGAGGACTGCTTGAACCCAGGAGTTCAATCTTAGCCTGGGCAACACAGCAAGCAAGACCCTGTCTCTACAAAAAAATAGAAAAAATTAGCTAGGTGTGGTGGTATGCGCCTGTGGTTCCTACTACTTGGGAGGCTGAGCTGGGGGCATCATTTGAGCCTGGAAGGTCAAGGCTGTAGTGAGCTATGATTGCATCATTGCATTCCAGTCTAGGTGAAAGAGTGAGACCCTGAGACAAAAAAAAAACCAAAAACAAAACAAAACAAAAAAAACAGAAAATGCAGAGGTATATAGTAAGATTCAGTATCATAAAAACCCAGTGAAGATGTCAATTCTCCCCAAAGTGATACAAAGGTTTAATGCAATGCCTATCAAAATCCCAGCAACAGTTTCTATGGATAAGATTATTCTAAAATTTATACGGAAAGGCAAAGGAATAAGAAAAGCAAAAAAACAATTTTGAAAAAGAAGAAAAAAGTGGGAGGTATCAATCTATCAAATTTTAAAGCTTATGGTATTGCTATGGCACTCAAGACCGTGCTACTGGCAGAGGAAAAGACAACTATATCAATGGAAAAGGGCAGCAAACTCAGAAATAGAGCCCACAAATATGCCAACTGCTTTAAAATTTTTTTTTATTTTTTATTTTTTGTAGAGACAAGGTCTCACTATGTTGCCCAGGCTAGTCTTGAACTCCTGGGCTCAAGGGATCCTCCCTAAAAAGACAAACTACAGGGTGGGAGAAAATACTTGCAAACCACGCATCTGACAAAACACTAATACCTAAAATATATAAAGAACTCTAGAGAATCAACATTAAAACAAACAATGGAATTAGAATATGGGCAAGGGACATAAACATTTCCCTGAAAAGGATATACAGATGGCAACTAAACACATGAAAGATGTTCAACATCATTAGCCATCACAAATTAAAACCACAACAAGGTATTATTACACACCTAACAGAATGGCTCAAGTAAAAACTAGTGACCACACCAAATGCTGGTGAGGATGGAGAATGCAGAGAAAGAGGATCTCTCATACATTGCTAGTGGGAATGGAAAATGGTATAGCCAGTCTGGAAAACAATTTGGTAATTTCTTAAAAAAACAAAATACGTAACCATGATATGACCCAGCAGTTACACTCCTGGGCATTTATCCCAGAGAAATAAAAATGTATGTTCATATAAAAATCTATATGCAAATATTTACAGAGGACTTATTCTTAACAGTCAAAAGATAGAAACAATGCAGACGTCCTTCAATGGATGAATGGTTGAACAAACTGTGGTCAGTACTACTCAGCAGAGAAAAGGATGAACTGCTGATACAGACAACCAGCTAGGTGAATCCCCAGGGAATTTTGCTGTGTGAAAAAGCCAATCCCCAAAGTTTACATACTGTATGATTCCACTTGCAGAACATTCTTAAAGTGACAAAATCATAAAAAATAGAGAACAGATGAGTGGTTGCCAGGAATTTAAAGAGGGGTGAAGGCAGAAGGAAGAAGATGTGGTTATAAGACAGCAACATGATGAATCTTTGTGGTCATGGAAATGTCCCGTATCTTGACTCAATCCATATCAGTATCCTGGTTGTGATATTGTACTACAATTTTGCAAGATGCCACTATGAGGGCAAACTGGATAAACGGTATATGTGATTTCTGTATTATATTTTACAACTACATATCAAATATACAGTTATCTCAGAATAAAAAGTTTAATTACAATAAAAATGCAATGCAGTCTGTACATGTAAAATTTTCATAATAAAATGTTGGGGAAAATGCAACGTAATTGTAGCAATGCAATCAAGTTCCCCCAGATCACTACCAAGATGGGGATTTCTTTCTTAATATGAAAGACAGTGTGGATGACTAAAATTGCACATTTCACTCACCGTTTGTTTCTGGAGGCCATCTACTTTGTCCTCAGCATTGTCTTCTTTATCTGTGTTGCCTCTAAATAAAAGTAAAAAAAAAAAAGGCATCACATACTACCTAGTCCCCCTTATCCACAGTTTCAATTACCCTGGTCAACCAACAGTCCAAAAATACTCAGATATTTTGGGGGAGAGAGAGAAATCACATTCATATAACTTTTATTACCGTATATTGTTATAACTGTTCTATTTTATTATTATTGTAGTTAATCCTTTATTGTCCTGAATTTATAAATTAAACTTCACCACAGGTATGTTTACAGAGGAGAAAACACAGTTTATCCAGGGTTTGGTATTATCTGAAATTTCAGGTACCCCCGTGGATAAAGGGGGACTTCTGAGTCAGTCCTCTGCAGCCATGGAGGATTGGTTCTCGGATCCTCAGGGATACCAGTTATCAGCAGATGATCAAGATCCTTGATTGGCCCTCTGTATCTGAGAGTTCTGCATCCACAGACAAGAGGGCTGACAATAGATCCCTTCCTCTGTAGGCATTCCAAGTCTTAGTTTTTCCTTCCCTTGTGGGAGAACTCAAGAGACACTGAGAATGAGAGAAACTATCACCAAACAGTCATCAATTCTACAGGCAAGGACCTTTATTCAACTGAGATGGCGGGCATGAGGCTCCAGCTTCACGTCTACTCAGGCAAATTCTGAAAAAGGTAATTTCTGCCCATCAAGAGTCATCTGAACATGTGACTCTGATAAAAGCACACACTCTAGAAACTGAAGGCTGTGCACCCCAAATGAGGCCTAATGTTGCAGCTCCCTGGTCACAGTACGATGGATCTTCCCACAGAATCGCACTTGGCACAAATCAATCATTGGAAGGGAGGTCTGCTGCCACCGGTTAAGAAGGACATTTTCCCCTTGTTACCATCAGACCCTTGATGCTAGGTCAGCTGCCTAATGTCTTCTCTTTTGTGAGCTTAACTATTGCTGATGCTTCCCTATTTTACAAAGATTCCCTTAAAAACTGACTTCGATTGAAATAGTCCTGTCCCAAATATTCTTGTACTTGCTGCTCAAGTTCTAGAGGCAAGATAAGCTCCTGGCTTTACTGCTTAACCACAGAAAGAAAAGACACCCCACAAAAAAAAGCCTTTATGCCACCTTCAGGCACGCATTCAGGGAGTGTTTTCCCTGAATCAGTGAATGTAACATGAGAATCGCCAGTCACGTGGGCCTTTGTTAATATCTCCCAGAATGCATCTCTGTTATCTGTCCACAAGAAACACGCTGGGGCAGCTGAAGTGTTGGTTAGGGACTAAGGACAGATGGAAAATGCACTGAACACTTTTCTTGGCCTGAGCAAATAGGGGCTCCTGGCAGTGTCACACTCTCAGGCCTGGCCACAGCCCTGGACAATGCAAAGCAGTATCTGCTACCTTTGGGGAGAAACTAAGAGATAAATCCTAAGAGATAAGCTAAGAGATAAATGCTACGTTTTCAAAAATATATATAGATATATAATTCAGATAACTACAATTTTTAGCCATTTATTTAGCTTTCCTGTGTATTTATGTCAAGAGTAAATAAAAATGAGTCAAAGGAGATGCCTTCCATATTTTTTTGCACACAATCCATGGACAAGCTGAAATGTCATCGCCATCAAGGAGCGATGGTCATCCTGGTCATGGACTCCGCAATTCTTAGACAGTATTGGAATTTCATCTGAGGAACTGCAATTCAAAGTCAGGAAGGCCGTACTTGTGTCTGTTCTTAGCTTTCTGTCAGGTATAGAGGTCTGAGCTCTTCCACAGGAATCCTCTGACCAGACAAGAGATGGGCATGGTTAGAAAGCTGGGCATGGTTTGGCAGCCTGGAAAACTCATGAGGAACAGAAACCAGTATTTGGTTCAAAGTGCTTGGAAGTCCAAGAGCAGGTCTGAGGCAGAGTAGGGTGTAACCAAATAGCAATTATGAAAAACAATGGCATTGCGGCAAGGTGTAGGGAGATACCTGACACTGAGGGAGAGACACAAAGAGTGCTGGGTATATGAGGAAGGGGTCACAGATCAGTGGCATGGCACATCACATCAGTGCTGGCCTACGTGACTTCTCACCTTTCAGGAATGTCTGAGGTCCCATCCGTAACACCCTGTTCTGCAGAAAGGGACTTCTCATCTGGCATCCCAACTTTCTCCAGGAAGCAAAGTGCTGGGTCTGCTCGCATGGCATTGTACCTTTCATACCCTGAAAAACAGTGGTGAGAAATGCCAGAAGTCACATCAGAACTCACAACATTTGCTTTGGGTCCTAGTCTTTTTATTTTCCTTATTTAGTAAAGAACAAAACAAACACAAAAAGTACTTATTTAAGATTAATAAGATCCTATAAGACTATCAGGGAAAAATCCTAGAGCTAAAAGCAGACACCTTTCAGTAGTGTTTGACCAACAAACAATGGCTTACAGAAATACTCAGTGTCCTCGAAAAGATGCAATTGTATAGATACAAGTCTCATGTTTGCTGCTTCTTGTCAGTTGGTTTTGCAACTTCTTCCCCCATCCTCAACTCTGGATACCTTGTTATGTCTTTAGTGACCCTTGTTTTCTTATAGTTCATTTTTTTTCCTTATAGTTCATTTATATCCTACATATCGGAAAGGGAAGCTGAACAACATGAAGGAAAGCAGGACTGAAATATAAAGAGAACTATGATGATTGATTACTGGATTAAGACAGACCTGTGGCCTCTGCATCACAAACTCAGTACAAATCCTAATCTATGCTGGCCAGGGCTTTGGAACTGCTCCTCACCACATCCCAAAGTTAACAACAGTGTTTTGACCCAGAAGAGGGGCCTCAAAAAGGAAGCAAAACAATTAAAATAATCCCCCTTTTCAGTTTGATAAAGTCTATGTGTGAGGATTTATTTTATTGAACCTAATGTGCTCTTATTTAATGTACTCTTATTTTATTGAACCTCATGTACACTCAGCATTTGGCCACATAAAAGGCAGGGAGTCCCCATCACAGGAGATGGAAGAGCTGAGTGTAAGTGAGAACGAGCCTGGGTCTCAGAAACAAACCTGATTTTACTGCGTTTGGTATTTCATTTCTATCTTGGTTTGTTCTTGCATCACTGTTGACGCAGTTGTATCTTTCACGCTGTAGGTAGCACATGGTTCTTTTTCCTCAGGAGCTATGGGTAGCTGATCTTTTAATCCACAGTGACTCTCCTGCTATCTCCACGACAGGTGCTGCCCACATAGGTACCTGGCACGAGAAGCTCTGCGGTGCCTTATGTTCTTTACTCACTTATTCTTTAGGGTAATTACTTGATTGCCCTAAGTCTCTCTTATGAGGTCATGAGCTTCCTAGGAGGAGAACCTGTATCTGTTTCACTCATCATTATTTAGCCAGTATCTAGCAAAGAGCCTGATACTGTACAGACTCAACAAACAACTGGCCAGATGAGTCGGTTTTGCCTACATTCTTTCTCTTCCAATCACTGTTGTAGGAAGAACCACTCTCACCCTTTCCCCATGTTCCTGCCTCAGCTCACATCAAAACAGAAACTTCTCCAATACTCCTGCTCCGAAGCAGATTCCAGCCAGTTTCTCCACCTGCTTCTCATGATGAGAGGGGTAATTTATATGACAGGTGAGATGGTGAAATCCTTCCCTTACTGTCCCCTTACTACTGAAGGAGGCCAACTGTTCAGGAGTATACACCTTCACACTCTGTGTTCAGGCATGGAGCAGGCTGGGATGCTTCCCTGACCTGGGCAAGGTTCTATTCTGTAGACCTTCTCTTGTCATGTGTAGATCTGAAGCCTAGAGGCAGATTCTGTATTTTTATTTCTCAATTAGCTGTGAAGCTGGAGGCAAGGAAGAGTGACTGATTCAGTCCCCTAGAAAACCTTATCAACTGTCCTGAAAAGAGGCCAGTAGGAGCTGCAACAGCAATACAAAGACAAACAGCAATGTGACAGGCCTGTGAGGGGGTGTCGGCTGCCTGCTTCTTCTCACTTAGTCTATAAGCTGCTCTCTAAGAATAGCATGCCTGATACACACCTTCCCTGCCAGGTGAATCGACAGAAACTTTTAAATGAGGAGCAAGGTTTAAAGTGAAAAGAGTTAGGTATACCCGGCTTTAGCTATCAACTTCGCCACTTACTAAAGAAAGGGGTGGTCAGATGTGCTACCTAGATGAAGACAGGTCTAAACCTTAAATCATGGAATAGACAGCACCCCGCCAGGGGCAGGATCAGATTCGGAGCCTAGAGGGTGCCAAGGAGGATGGGCCCACGAGGCATCTGTCCAACCTCATCTAAGTTGACTCCAATGTAACAATCCAACTAAACTGATCTGGCCTTATGTAAAGTCTGGATTTATGGCTTAGGATCAGTCTCCAAGCACATGAGAATAGAGGTTGTTTCTTCTTCTGTCTTTATACCGTTATCTGCTAAACTCATCCTGTACAACAAGACACTTAGAAATGGTTCAAATCACCTTCAAGGCATCTGCCCCTCAGCCCTAGCTATAAATTCCAAGCTCACTTCAACTAGCAATCTGTGAGAATCTGAATGGAATTGAGTGATGAAGTATTATCTTAACATTGTGTGATCGGGAAACGCAAATTAATTTATATTCTGCAAAACTGCTTCAATGAACAGAAGAGTTTGGGAATGACCTTATGGATCATCTGGGTTGACTCTATCTTCAGTATGAGACTAAGAGAGCTACTGATTAATCCTAATACCTGGAACCGTGATTAGGGTTAGGAAACTAAAAGGTAGAGCACCAATAATAACTTGTCTTTTCGAGGTGGTCACACCTGTGAGATGTTAAGATGATGCTTCATCACTCAATTCTATTCAGATTCTCAGATTGCCAGTTGAGGTGAACTTGGACCTCCTTCTGAGGCTATGTCCTTTGCATGAGAATATTAATTTTTATCTTCCTGATGAGTTATATCTATCATCATTGTGTAATAACCCCCTTTCTTCCAGATTGTGTTTTGTGCCTCACAGACCATGTGATATTGATTTGCCTTACTGGGTTGTTGGTAGCATTTTCTGGGCATGTCTTGTTTCACCTCGTGGATGTCAACTTCACTCTGTCTTCTATGTCTCATCTTCTCTTTCATGTCTTCATCTCTTTATTTCTCAGGGATATGTTTCTTTAGCTCTGCTTTCTTGGGCTAGAGAGCTTTTTCTTGCTTCCGTTTGCTGGAGGGGCAACCCTTTCAAGGTCATGTTTCCCATTTCTGTGGGTATTAAAACTCCAGTCTCTCTGGTCCACTATCATATTGGCCCCTAAGCTTTCAGTTCTGCCTTTAAATGACTTTTGCACTTGGGGACTTTCCCTTATATCTTCCAAGTCCTGATTCGCCTTGGCTTTTGGTATGTCTATGGTGGGTGTATTGGGATGGAGGAGGAAGTAGCAGCACGTAAATTCTACCTGTCATGCTGCTGGGACTTCTCTTTTCACAGCATGTTCTCACCATGCAGGGATTTGGCAATGTGCCCCAAAACCACCACTGAAATGAGACCTAGGGTCACTAGGCCTTCCCACACACACCAAATTCAGATACTCTGGAATCTGGGTGCCTTTAGCAGCCTGTCATCTTCTGGGGTCCTTCCAAAACTAGATTAAACCAAGTCTGGGTAGCACTGTGGTACCTTGTGACTAACAGGGAGGTCACACACTTCTTTCCACTCTGGAGCGGAGTTTTATTCCTGCACTGTCCAACAGAGGAGCCACTAGCCACATGGGGCTATTTAATTTAAATTAATTAAAAGTACATAAAAATACACTTGCTCAGTTACATTAGTCACATTTTAAGTGCTCAATAGTGGCTTCTGCAGCAGACAGTGCAGAATTAGGACATTTCTATCACTGCATGTAGTTCTACTGGACAGCACTGCTTTAGTCTAACCCCAGTGGTTTGACACAGGGTTCTCAGCAGCACTGCACTCTCAATACCAGTATCCAAATTTTGAGTGGATTCCAAATTAAAATATATATAGGCCTGGTTGTTACTTAAGTGTAGCTGGTCAGCCTGTAAAAGTTGAAGAATTCCCTTTAAAGAGCATGCATTAGAAAGTTAACAACCTTCCAAAGGCAGAGTAATATGGGAGAGTGGAATAGCACCCAGCACCTCTTAGGTACCAAGCACTGTTCTAGGTGGTCTACATTTAATGTAATATTTAATCTTTAAATAGCCCCTAGGTAGGCTGTTTTGATACTATACCTTCTCCATCGTATATGTGAAAAATAAGTCAGAGAAGCTTATGACTTGCCCAATGTCACACATTTACTAAGTAGTGAAGTTGACAGCTAAAGCCAGGCATACCTAACTCTTTTCACTTTAAGCCTTGCTCCTCATTTAAAAGTTTCTGTCGATTCACCTGGCAGGGAAGGTGTGTATCAGGCATAGTATGGGTGACTATCACTTGACACTTTCATCATTCATTTTAATGGCTGGCAGCTGGCTGAAAGCAAGGGCAGCTGTTTAAAACACTGCTAGAGGTGAAGAAAGGAGGCACTTACTTCAGTTTTTCCAAGTGTTTAGAAAACTTCTCAGTCCCTTTTAGTTGCTTGATTACCACATTTTTAAAAAAGATCATCTATTTTATCTTCTATGCTTAGTTTTTAAAATGCCAATGGCGTAAAAGATATACACTAGGAATATGTAGATTATCTAAAATGACCTTAGAATTCTACACATATATGAAATGTTGAAACTCAGCATTTCCCACCATTTATTTACTCCTTCATTCAAGAAACAATGGGTGCCTACTAGGTGCCAGGCACTGGAACTATTAGAGGCAGCCACATATCTGACAGCATGGACAGGCAAGGGAGGAAGATACACACCAAACAGGTTCTTTGTGGCCTTAATGTTTCCTAATAATATAATATTCATACTATTATTGTGAGCCATATATTTATCTGGTGGAAATTCCAAGGGGGCAGTGGTGAGGGTCTGCTCTCTAAGATGAATGTGTAAGAGAATGATGGAGGAGTTTTGCAGAAACATGCTGAGCTTAGTCAGAGCATCTGAACTCATCCTTCCGGGGGGAAACTGATCCAGAAGGGAACACCTTCAGAGAAATACACACCATGCTTGAACACGCCAATGAGAAGGGACTTATCGGCCTCAGCATCCCACCAATCCACGGGGATCTCCATGTAGTCGATGTCAGGCAGAGGCACGTCCAGCTCCCTAGGGAAGGAAGGGCGTAGACTCAAAACAACACAAAAGTTACTGGCCTAACCCTGGTATTAGGCTACAGTCCTAGTTACATGCTGAGATGCTAAAGTAACAATAAACAAAAGGGTTAGGAAGGCCGTGGCTCACTGTTTCTCAACCAGGGCTTTGCATCAGAATCACTTAGGGAGTGATTTAAGCATAAGTGCTTGATTTCCGGGCTCTACCTTTGACTGAGCCAGTTACACAGTCTTGAAGCACCTCTTGGAGAACCCAATCTCAGCTGGTCTAGGGTGGCATCTTGAGATCCACATGTATGGAGTTCTGATGTGCACCTCATGTGAACCACAGCAAAGGCCATTGATATATTGGACCTCTGAAGGCAGAACTTCCCCAAACAGTTGAATGCATACATGATTGAATGTTTAAGACAGTGCCCAAATCATCTTGGCTCAGTATGTTGCCTCAACAAGTAGAGATCTTAAGCACCATTTGAGAACAAAAGTCCACACTGCAACAACTGGGGATATCAGGAGGGCCTTTCAGAGGCTGACTGCCATAACAGGTGGCACCTCCTGGCAGTGGTCTATTAGGTCAAAATTGATCACAAACTGCATTGCTCCTGGCCAGAGGGATGCACATAACTCACTCTAGGGCACAGACATGCGAGTTTAGCCCCTCTCTGAGTTTCTGTCCATGTGTTGAGAGCTCACATACATCCTAAGTTCATTGTCTTCATTCATCTGAGTACAGTTCCTTGCTCTTTAAAGCTTTGGGGCTTAGGGAATAGCATGTACCTGGATGGCTCCTCCCTCCCCCTCCAGCTGCCTATGAAGTTTCTTCTATCAGGCTTTTACTGTGACACAGTACTGACTGCTCTTTGCCAGGCCCAGCTCCCTCTGTGGGGATAGTGTTTCCCGGCCCTCACCTTTCCAGTACCCAAGGCTCTGCCTGCACAGAGCCATGGCTGAATGACTTTTCTGGAATGAACTGCTGTTCATGCCTCATGGCAATTTCTCCACAATAAGATAGTCAACCTGAATAGGAGAGTGAGAGATAGAGGAATGCAGAGGAAGAAAGAGGGTGGGCAGCGGACTTACTCTCTCTGTGTTCTACCCAGCTACCACCTATGACTTCCTACACATGACAGAGTAAATTCAGAGTACTGCTGCCAGGTAACACCTGATGGAAATAATCAGGCTGAATTCTGCCGCATTTCTATGACTCAAATTGAACCTGTCTACCAAAACACATAGACTCCCTGTCCCTGCTGGAAATTACAATAGTGACTCTGGAAGGCATAGAAAGTGATAACAGTTGCTGAGAGGCCTGGCTCTGATTACAAGTTGCCCCATGGGTAGGGTGGTCTATGTCCCTCTTTCTTACTTTAGTGCTCCTATGACCCCTAAAGGCACTAGTATTGCTCAGTGGAAAGCAAGAGAAAGAATAAACCATGTCCCCAGCTAATCTCAACACAAAGTCCAAATATCAGCACTCTTGGTATTCTCTTGGAATGACAGGCGTGCACAGAGCTAGCAAACTGTATTTGGTGATCCCGTCTATAAACTGGGACTTTCTGACAGCTTTATTAAGTGACCGCTGAGAACCTAGTAGCCTTACTTTTGGAAATTTTGGGATACTCCCACAGGATTCTATAGCTTTCAAAACACTAATTTGCAAAACTAACATGCAACAAATCAAATAGGCCGCACGTATTATTAATATGATTAGCAAATAAAGGAAGTATGTATATGAATACTAAGGCCAACAATGGGATTCTGGGTAAAACTTCCAGTCTATACATGCCAGATCAGGAACTGACACTAATTCTACTGTAATCACTTAAGGTACAGAAATGACTGTTTTAAAAGGAAATTTACAACACTTTTGAGGGAAATAAGATGAACTAACTCATCAAGTGCTAGGTTTCTAAGAAATGGTTTTCTCCTTTATTTTATTTGTAGATGACCTGATGAATTGTCCTTACTCTACTTGCCTGTTCTCCCATCCGGGTCACTGGTCCTGAGCAAGGGGTGGGAGGAACATGGGCCTCTTTAAGCACAGGCAAGTTTGGCCAGCTCCATGAATAGGCATTTTGTATCAATTCTTTAACATTGATATGTTGTTTGATTTGTTTTACCTGGCAGGAGTTCCTTCAAATGCTTTCTCAGCTGCTTCTCCCAGGATTTCAGCTTTTAGATAGTACAGCATCCGGACTCGCAGAAGTACTCTATTAAAGGTGAACCCATTAATGTAAACATATTAGAACCCGTAATTCTGTGAACCACATCCCCAAGTTAACACTGGGAAATTCTGGGCATTCCCATGTAGTTAATATTATGAAGTAATAGAAGAGAAGGCACTAGAAAAACAAAACACTATGGCAGACGTTATTATGATCATTCCCATTTTACAAAAGAAAATGACTGCATCAGTTATCTGTTAGACCATCCTGTGAGCCATAGCGGGCCGCAGGAACAGACAGCGCTTCCCATCTTTAAGAGTACTCATCCCTTCCATGTGGCCACAGTGACCTCTTAGGCAGAATGGGCTTCCGAGAGGCCTGCTACTGACGAGTGAGTAAGGTCAACAGTGGTGCTTTCAAAGTTTCACTTGTACACAGTTAAATGAATAAAGGCAGGTGTCTATTTTTCATGGAAATACATCTTCTCTTCTGAGGTGCTCAATTCATTTTTATTCTGTATGGCCCATACTCAGGCTCCATGGGAATGCATCAAACGTGTCAGACAAACCAATTAAGCAAGTATTTGTTGGACAACTACTATATGCCCTGCATCATGCTTGGTGCTATAGGTATATAACAAAAGTAAATTAAACCCTGTTCTTGAGGAGGCTACAGCAGTCTAGTTGTGAAATGACACCAACCATGAAAAGAAAGCACAGGAGGTAACAGTGAGGGCCCAGGTTCAATGCGTGTAAAAACAGGGTAAAAGGAAGGGTAGGCAGATGTAGACCAGACCATAGGGCAGACCACTTTGAAGGAATGCTTCCTATTCAGGGACGTAAAGAGGTTTAGAAGAATGCTTGTAATTTGCTCAATACCAGCCAGAAATGAAGGCTAGCCATTAAAAATGAAAGCCCATTTACATAAGCTTATATAAGAACTGATCTCCAAATAAATTGTTTAAAAAGGGATCAAACAATATGTATCACAGATATTTTAAGGATGGAAAAAAGTGTCTGTACATTCGCATATGCTGGTACATGCACTGAGTATCTTTGGAAGAACCAGGTTGACAGTGGTTGACTCTAGAGATAACAACAGGGGAACCGGAGGTGGGAGGAAAACTTACTTTTCCCTACTTTTGTTTAAGAGATTCTAAACACATATATGTATTGCCTATTCAAAAGAAGTTAACATTGAAGGGTATGTACTATGGTTTGACTGTGTCCCCCAAAAGTTCGTGTGTTAGAAACAATTGCCATTGTAACAATATTAAGAGGTGGGACCTTTAGAAGTGATTGGGTCAAGAGGGCTCTGCTCCCATGAATGGGTTAATGCTGTTATGACAGGAGTGGATTCCTGATAAGGAATAAGCTCAGCCACATTTTCTCTATGTATCCCATGCAGATTTGCCATGGGATGCCTTTCGCCGTCAGATGACCCTTGCCCACAAGCTGGCATCACGCTCTTGGATATCCCAGCCCGCACAGCCATGAGCCAATATCCAGTCTGTGGTATTCTGTTATAGCAGCAGAAAATGGACTAAGACAAAGGGGTGAGGTCTCTAACAAAGCATAATTTCTATCTATTAAATCTGGGTAGACAGTGCTGCTGTGGGCTCAAGTTATAGGTGGAAATACATAAAGTTAGAACTTACAGATTGGAAAGAATCCTTGGTATCTCTGGTACACCATTTCTTATCTCAACTGTCAATCAACTCAAATAATTCTGAGATTTTTTTTTTTTTTTGAAATGGAATTTCACTCCTGTTGCCCAGGTTGGAGTGCAATGGCACGATCTCGACTCACTGCAACCTCCCCATCCTGGGTTCAAGCGATTCTCCTACCTCAGCCTCTAGAGTAGCTGGGATTACAGGTGCCCACCACCACATCTGGCTAATTTTTTTGTATTTTTAGTAGAGACGGGATTTCACCATGTTGGCCAGGCTGGTCTTGAACTCCTGACCTCAGGTGATCACCTGCTTCAGCCTCCCAAAGTGAGCCACCCCGCCTGGCCTGTTTTTTTTTTTTTTTTTTCCAAAGCCCAGAGAATAAGAACTCTTAAGAATTTACAACCACTGCCAATCCTTATTTGTACATGGTAGTAGCTGACAGCCTCCTTAGTAAAAACTGAAACAGAATGTCAGAGTTCTGCCTGCTAAGACTTAGCTCAACTACAGCAGGGCTTTCCTGAAAATATAAGACAGGGAAAGCTGTTTCCATTTCTATAAAGAGAAACAAATGTGTTGACGTCTGACAATACCTGCACATGAGAGAACAGAATTTAAAGCCAATAGTATTCAATTTTCCTCTGAATGGGAGGGAAATCAATTCAGAGGAAGGATGGGCAATTCCTCATAGACAGCCCCCTCCTCCCAGCTGGTGTCTGAACTCAAAGGGACACACAGCTGAAGCAGGTGTGAAACACCCTTGGTTTAGCCAAAGAAAACAACCCATTAATATTTTGGGTGGTGATATATCCTTTTTTCTTTTAAAAGTATTTTACTGATGTAAAATATACTTCCATAAAGTGCACACTGCACACACATATAGCTTAAAGAATTTCTACAAACAAAACATATGTGTATATTCAGCATTCAGATCAGGAAGCAGAATTTTTTCCCTTAAGTCCTGTTGGCATTCCCTTCCGGTTACTAACCCACCCCCAGTGGATAACCATTATCCTGTCTGCTATTAGCTTGGATTTGAAAGAATGCTTTTTAAGTTTGTAAAGTTTCTTTTGATGACAATTTCATGGCTAAAATAATATAGTGGTGATAATAACGACATTTTGAGTTCTTACTGCTATCTCTGAAGAACCTGTACTTTTATGTACAATAGTTTTTTTTACAGTATTGGGCATGAAACTTATCTTCAAATATTTGAGGGGATCAAGAGAAAGGATTATACTTTATCTGTAGAAGAAAAAAAAAAAAAAAAAACCCACAACCCAACAACTACAGAATAATTAAGAAGATGTTACAGGGAGGCAGGAAAACCCAAGCAAAAGCTCTTAACCTATAAGGTAATAAACTCTTGATTACAAGAGGTGTGCAAACAGAGGCCCTCACACTACCTACAAGGAATGCTGGAACGATAACTCTTGCATGACCTTGACATGAATTAGATAGTTTCCAAGGGTCAAATACATTACAGAGTGATGCAAATATCCACATGCAAACTTGCCACTGTTTTGTTGCTGAATGCCCTAACTCCCCAAGACTAAACTACATATGAACAAAGTTTCATCTTCAATCACTGTTTTTTTGCTGTCTCCACCCCACCCAATCCCAGCTGTTAGCCTACAGATACAAAGAATACTATCTCAAATGCATGCCTATCAAAGAACTGAAGGCCATGAATGGCAACAGCAAACTGGAAGAGGAGGCTGAGAGTAGCAGTGGCCAAGGCCAATGTTCTGCCTTTGTTAATGTGGCCTCAGGAGGAGAGGATGACCTGACTGGTTTTTGAGGGTCAAAACAGAAAAATCCTCAGGGGTATATACAATGCAATGGCAGAGGGGCCAGGTTCTGTGGGAGGGCAGAAGTACTGTTAAAGGAGTTACAGGAGCTGCAACATGAATTCTGACCCACTTTAGACCACAGATAACACATCTGGTTTTTCTAGACCTTGCATGGAAGTAGCACAAGAGCATGAAGTGGCCTCCCTGTGGAGTTCCCAGGAATTGAAGCAGTTTGAGCCAGGCTGCCACCAGGGTATGGGAGAGGGCACACTCACTTGTTGCAGTGCTGTTTGAGGTGTTTCTTATAGCCGTCATCATGCAAGACCACCTCGGGGTTGCAGGTGGCCAGCCAATCTGCATCCTTTAGCTCTGGGATTAGCAGCTGGTTCTTCGTCTTCTTCCCTTTCCTCCCTCTGGGGACTGGGGCAGACAAGCCTGAAACAGAAAGACAGCACAGGGCAAGTGGATGAGCCAAGGAGGGTTAAACATGGGTTTCAGAGCTGGGTTGGGGTAAAAACAGAACCAGGCTGTGGTCTGGATGGCAGACCCTACTCCTCAGCCCATAGGTAGTGGTGGTGGGAAGGCCATGCACCTGGTTTCCTCCTTAGTAAACTCCAGGACCATTTAGTCAGTAAGATTTCCCAAGTACCCTGTAGGGATTAAGGAAAGTGTAACTTAACCTGTGGCCTTTGGGAACTTACAACCTGCCTGGGAGAAAAGGAACATTTGACTTGAAACTTCAAGGGGTGTGTTGGCCAAGGACAGGGAAGAAGGAGTGTGGCGTAAGAGAAGGCACAGACAGAGGTGGGAAACGGACAGGATGGTGAAATGCATAAGGCAAGTCACAGAGCACAAGGTGTGCGTCCCTAATTCAGAGGTGGAACTCGCATGAGACAGGTTTGTGGGCAGGACTGGATGTGGGAAACTTTAAGAGGTCCCAGTTGTACTTAAACAAAATATCACAGGTAGTAACAGGGGGGAGATTCTGAGGCAGAACTGAAAGCATCATCTTTTCCCACTGGTAACATTCTGAAAAACACCCGAGAAAGAGAAGTCCCCCAAAGCACAGCCACACAGCCCCACAGAGGAAGAGGGAATGAAGTGCATGGGAATCTGCTTCTTAGGCGTGGCCCTGCCACCTCTCACCTGAATGGTTTTGGAGGGTCTGGGCCTGCCCATCTTTGGTAGGTGTGATCAGTTCCCAAATGAAGCTCTTGATCTTCTCATCCCCCTTATAATGCTTGACACAGTACACCAGGAGGGCACGGCAAATCATTTCCATGTCCTTCTCATTCAGATGCCACTTGAATCGGCCATGAGTCAGGATGTCCTTCCACCGGCCCCAGCTGACAGTGGACATACAGACAGGTATTAGAAGGATGGGCCAGGCCATGCATGCAGCCTCCCCATAGAAGGAGAAACAAGAGCCATACATGATTTTTGTTCTCTGTAGGTCTGTTAATCATCCCGAGGGCTTTGTCCCGGAAGGCCTTTGAGGACCACTGGATTGTGGCACACCAAGTATCACTAAGGTGACCTGGATGTTGGGCACTGAGTGCTTCCTATGGCCACTACAATGTTAAAGAGGGAGGAACCAAAATACTGGGAGCAGGGAATAAATTTGGAATTAAAAGAGTCCAGCAGCACTATTCAAAAGTAATGATGAGCTCACAGAAGCTGAACCTTTGATTTCTACCAGAGCCAAAGCCCTGCAGGAATTATGCCTTGACTATAAAATCTATTGTGTGGACTCCTTATATATCCTTGAGGGATGAGGGGAAGCAGGAAATCAGTACCAGACAGCAAATTAGTACCAGAGATTTTCTGTGACAAGTGTATGAGAAAATCATGGCACGTCTGCATTGTGGTTGCAGAGCACACGGTGGCTGAGAGGGATTCTGGGCAGAAAGCACAGTGCTCTCTTGCTCCAACAGATCCCCCTTTGCCCTGTAATTCCAGAGGGGACTGGAGAGACATCCTAGACAAATCTCAGGGACTAAAAAACAGAGGGGAACAAACAATAACAACAACAAAACCAAGCAGAGCCAATACCCACCCAAAGATGAGCAGGTTCTTCTCTACCCGGAAGCACTCGGCTCGGAGGTAGCGCCTGGCTTTGTCATTGAGGCGCCTGGATCTCGTGGGCCTTTCATCTGAGTCGCTGTCTAACTCTGAAAACTCCATGAGTTCGTCTTCCTCAAATGAATTGTAGTGTTTGGTCTGCTTTCTCACGCGAGGTCGGTCGATCACTAAGCTTTCCTGGAAATGGAGAGGACTACTGGGAAGAAAGTCCTCTTCTCTCTATTCCTATCACAGTGCACAAGTGTATCCCTAGGACACATTTGGGAGAGAACATGCCCCTGTCTCATCCTCCAGCACAAAAGGCTCTTCCCTTCCCAGCACACCTGCTGTCTCCATGACCACAGGACAAGCAGAGAGGATTCTCTGGGACTTGCTTAAGTTGGTGTGTTCCCTGGCCCCCAGTATTGCTCATCACCATCTGCTGTTTCTGCAGTCACTCTACCCGGAATGTGGGCAGGCAAGGCCCCCCCCAGTGACCAAAGTGGTGGTCGGCTCTTGCCAACAAAGACTGCAGTGGTGAAGCCCCAGCTGTTCTGCCCAGCATGCAGAGAGCAGTCTGCACTCTGGAGACAAGACAAACCAGAGAATTCCATCTGCTCAGCAACTTTCTGAAGACAAATGCATATTCCTGCTTTATTTATCTGCCTTCCACTGGTTCTATCTACTAACCTTTTGCCTTTCACTGAAAATACCATCTCCAGCTCAGGAGCCTCCCTCATTCTGATGGCCCCCCTGGCCATTTGTCTTCCCTAGTCTTCATTGTTCCCTGCTCTTCACTTCTTCCCCCTATCCCTCTTCTCCAAGCCAGGCTAACCTCCTGACTACTCCTCCACATAGCCCAGATAGTGTATGTCCAGTGTTATCCCTGCTTTGGTCACGGTGCTTCCCAAATCAGAAGGCTCCAAGTGCTTCTGCCTGGCTATAGGGCCACAGTACTTTCTTCCCCTGCTTGTACCCACTGTCCTGCACACACCCACTGTCCTGTAGCTTCTTGATTGTGACACTGTGAAACACTTAGAACTGGTTACTAAAGGGGACCAGAGAATCTTCTTAAAAGAGGAAAATCAGCATTTCTATTTATAGGAGAAAAGAAGGTAGATTAAGCAACCTGTGGTGGTTCTGGCTGGGTGCTGGTTACCAAACTACAAGCAGGGACTGTCTCCTGGGTTTGTGGAACGGTAAGTTCAATACTTACCTGAGAAGACACTCATCCTGAAGTGAGGTGACGGGGTCAGAGATGAAGGAAGGGAAACTAACATTTAAGGGATGCCTCACAGTGGGCTGGGCACTGGTGCCAGTTATATCCACAAATGTTACCTCATAGCCCCAGTGTGGGCCTCACCACCTCCTTTTCTACTCATCTCGGTGGGGGTCATGTACTTCATCCAAAGGCATACTCTGGTTTCATTCCAAAGCCCACTTTTTTTCTCATGTTCAGAATTAAGAAAACATGAGACACTGGAAGAATGGAGGTAAAGCCAACAAACTTTTGTCACGCTTTTTTCCCTCTTTCTATTATGTGTGAAGTTTCTCTCACAGGAAGTGTTGAAATAGAAATAAAATGGTCACATGCCAGGGATAGACTGTTGGCTTGAGACAGAGATCTGAACTTGACCCATGTATCTAGTTCCAGTTCTAATTGCCTTCGTCTAATTTCCCAGGTGCCCAACAGACTGGTCATTTAAAAATGACAACAGTTAATATTTATTGAGTGTTGTCTATGTGCCAGGCATGTGTTAAATATGGTACAAATATCATTTAAGAATCAAGACTCAAGAGTAAATAATAACTTGAGCTGTGTAGGAATTTATTGTCATACATGACACAAGTGAATGTTCCATGGAATAAAATATTATTATGCTGTACCTTTTCATTCTTTGCTTCAGTGTCTAGTTCAGCTATTTTAGCCCATTTTTGCCAAAAGTTAGGATCATCTAAGGAAATATCTGTTCTGTTTCCTGAAGCCACAAAGCTAGCCTGTGAAGAAGACAAGAATTAACAAACTGTGCTTAAACATAGTACAAACTAATAAAACACCTGTGTTATTTCAAATACAGGAGAAACCTAAGTATATTATCTATTGACATTCAAAATCAAAACCCTAACAGAGCTTCCAAAATGAACGTGAAAATCTCACGGCTATTCTTTTTTATTCATTTATTTTAAAGATTGGGTGAGAAAATTACAATTTCAACAGAAGGGATCATTTTTTTTGGAGCTCAAACTTGGAAGCAGGAAGGCAAACCCCAGAGACAATGGCAATGTGCCACCTGGTGTCTAGTTCCCTATGAAAGAGTTAACTCTTAAAACCTTTCTAGATTTTTCTTTTAGTGCAGCAGTTACCAATGTCTGCTATGGAAAAGGTACTTGGGTGGGCAGTATGAAGTGTAGAAACAAGGGATAGTTCACCCATACTCTGCTTATAAAACACAGAATATCCTACTAAAAAACTTCCAGATGTTACCAAACAGGAGATTTAATCAAACAGATTATAAAGCTCACACAGGAATCAGCAGTGGCTGTGGTTAGGGAAACCTGAGAGTGATCTGCTAAGTTCTAAATACAGTGACCGAAACAGCAGAGGAGTCACCCAGACTAGAAGCTGAGAATTTTAAGTGAAATCTCTTTCCCATGAAATAAACAAACTACTTGCTTGAGTTTGGGGAATGGACCGTTCATTGGAGCTTCCACTCTCTAACAGTGATCAAGAAGTGCTCTATGAGGGAATCAAGATGTCCACTGGAAGGTTTCAGAGCAGTCCTTGCAAACCGAGCCAACTGGGAACACAGCGTTTATTCTGTCTGTTAAAGATCAGCTCTCAAAGATGAGAAGTGGCATCTTCTTTCTACAGCCCCTGACTCCCTATTCAGACTTCCTTCCTCTAAGGATCTACCTCTTTAGACAGTCATGCAGACTAAATGTGCAACCAATTTCAAGGCTTTGCATTCAGAAAAACAGAAACCCTGCTAATGGGTTTCAGAGAATAAACATTTTTTTTTCCTCTCCCACTCCCGACAGCTCTGGAGAGAAGGCCCTATACCTTGGCAAAAGTGGACCCTTTCCCCTCAGACTGGATGGTGATGGTGTGGGTTCTCCTCTGCAGAATCTGGTCTATGTCTTCTTCACAGAACTTGGAGCCTTCATCTTCTTCGTCCATTAAGGCTCCATAAGCACCTTTCCGAAGTAAATCCTCCACCTCCATTTTTGAGAGCTGCTGAACCTGGACAGGTTACCAAAGGCTACTCACAAAGTGGAAAATGTATAGGAGGAAAACAGCCTCAAAACTGGTCTTTGTGATTGAGTACATCATTCCTCCACGAACTCTACATGTTAGAAGAACAAAGGACGTGGGCAACAAACTTCAGCTAATGAAAACCCAGTTAACGATACTCTGGGAGGGCAGGCAGACAGTCCTCTATAGGCAGCTCTGCAGTAAAGCCCAGCACATGATCCAAGGTCCCTAACATTCTTCAGGACGTTGGTTATTATCAAATGTCACAAATCACTACAACTATGCAGCACTGAAGATGGTATTTTTGACATCTTTATAGTTTACTTTGAGCCTGTACCTTTAAAAACCTCCAGATGTACCAAACAAGCAGAAGAACAATGATTTATTCATTATTAAATAAATACGTATATTAGTACTGGAAATGATGTCATTTCTCAGCAAAAAAAAATGATCCCATGACAAATGTGATCTTCTCAACTCTTGAGGAAAACAGGAAATGGGGTTCCAAACACCCTCTTCTGGTTCTAATTAAGAATCTGGTTCTCTTTATATCAATCACAAGAGGGAATTCCATGACTCTCTGTACGACTAACTTGAAGTATTATACTTAGCAACATATGCATAGCTAAGAGGATATGGAACATCTGGACTAAAGGCAACTCATTTAGAAGGTTTAAGCATCAATCTTTGATGCCCTGAGTTCAGAGATTAAGGAGATATTCTGCTTTGTTTGTCTATACTTTAAGAACATTTAAGAATCTTAGTTGCAATTCTTATCCCCCTAGAAGGGGAAAAATATTTTAACTGTCTTATTTCAAGCTGCTAATTTATTCATTCATTTACTGACCATCCAGCACCTTATGTCTTTAATATGTCGAGCACTGTTAGGGGCTGAGGGGACATACATTAAATTGGTCCCAGTCACTCTCAAAGCTCAAAGTCTGAGGTATGAGATAAGGCATAGTAACAAATACAATGTTAAGATCTACTGGCTTCTAATGGGCATGGTTAAAACTTCTTTACTGATAGGTCACACCATGCTGGGCAAACCTATCTCATAACCACTTCTATGGATTTCCAGTATCCACTCAGAAAACACAGAGACCTGACTCTGAATAATACCCTGTTGTAGGGAATTACCCAACAATTATGTGAGGGCTGGCTCAATGCAGTGAAAGTAACCCCGAAACAGTGCTCAGAGAAGCCTGCCTGGGCTGTGCGACCAATGCCCCTTAAGACTCCAGAGCAGGCCCATCACACTCACCCCATTGGTGCCACCCTTTCGGTTGATGTCCTGAAGAACAGCCTTGTCCAGCCCCAGCTTTAGGCTGGCCTTGTCAAACATCTCGCGCTCATAGGAATTTCGAGTGATGAGGCGATACACCTTCACAGCTTTGCTCTGGCCTATGCGGTGACATCGGGCCTGAGCCTGGGAAGAAGGAGGGTCATATGCATCATGTCACCATAAATATAACAACAGCAGCCCTGGGAATAGGGGAGTGCTTAAATGTTACGTTGTGTGAGTGGCCAGCTCTCGGTTACAAGTCACAGGACTGATTTCAGAAGAGAAATCATACCCGAAAGTTGGCTGCCACCTCTGTGGCCACTCATTTCTTCTCCCATTGTGTACTGACTACTGTGCGCCAGGGATAAAACAATGAGAAGGACATGGTGTCCTCCCCCCTCCCCCTGCCGTTGTCTGTGCATGAGTGGCACTCATTCCCAGGATGCTCTCCTGTACTCTTGGAAGATGGTTCAGAGCTGGTAGCACTTTAAAATTTTGCTATAAAAATTCTCAAACATACAAAAGCATATAGAAAAGTATAATGACTTCTTATGAACAATCTTGTTTATTTTTACTGCACTCCACCCTCCCAGATTATTAGGAAGTAAATTCTAAGTGTCATACTGTTCCATCCTTACATATTTCAATACCCATTTCTAAAGATACCGACTCTTGTAAAATATATATTATTACCATTGCCACAGTTAAAAACAATTCAATTTCTGCTGTCACTGAATAGGTGCCTTTATTCCCTGCATTGTCTCTAAATTAGGAGTTCTACCTTAGAACTTGATCAGTCTAATATTTGACTTCTGGCAAGAGTACTTCATAGGTAGTGTCTAAATGTCCATCAAGAGGCAAATGGTATCTGGTCATCTTTCTTCTGAATTGATGATCATTGCCTAGATCTGTTAATTCATCAGGGGCTACCCTAATGTACAGTTCATGTAAGAGTGACAAACTAGATCTTTGATTCTTTCTCTTTGACATTTCCAAAATAACATCCCAAAAAGAGATCCAATGAAATTTTTAAAATTACTTCTTTATGGAATACAATGAAGGCATACATTTAAATACATCTGCCATGTTTCACTGCACTGCAGTTATTATTCTTATTGCTGTTCACATTTGGCCCATGGCTGAGTTCTTTCAACATGACCTAGTCAAATGTGGAAAAAAGGAAGACTGGAATCAACTCTGTCGTATTTGAATGGACTGGAGGTATCAGTATGAACTCATGGTTAGGTGTGTATGTATATATACACACGTATACATACACACAGAAATAGATATGAATATGTGTACATTTATGTTTGTTATATCAAAGTCTTTTGATAGTTCCTTTGCTTTCAACATATTCCATACTCCTCTTGTACAATTCCTGCCCAGACCTGGCTTCAGCCATTTTGTTTCCAGGAGTCCTAGTTTCTTTTGTGGGAATGTTTTTTCCCCCAAGAAAGCAAGCAGAGGGGTGATTATTGACACTGAGAGGAAGGGGTAGCCTTGCCATGTGAGTGAGCCCTCCAGGTATCACTGGACACCCAGGGCCCTCACTTACCTTGGCCCAGAGCAGTAAGAAATGCAGCCCTTGCTCCTCTGTGAGTTAGTGGCAGAGCAAGACTGGAGCCTTGGATTCCTGCTCCTGCCCCATGATCTTGATCCTGGAGATCAGAATATCAAGCAATGGGGCTCCCATGTCTGAGGCCAGGCTATTTAAGTTGGATTTGAAGTTACTGGGCCCATAGAAAGGGGATGAGTCTAAGCAGGAATTCTATGTTTGCCCATAAGGGACTCACCTGGTACCAGAATCTCTGGATACGGCAGCCTCCACCCATTCGCTGCCCACATTCTTCCCCTAACCTCATGGCTGAAAATGACACCAGAATTCCTATAACTTACTACTAAAGTGACTCAAGGACCAAGAAGCTCAGTAAGAGTACAGGGACAGAAGGCCACTAGGGTTGGTGGGTACAGGAAATGACTATCAGGGCAGGGCTAAAGGAAGGTAGATCCCAGGCATCTCCTGCTACTCGGCCCACTGTGTTACAGAGGTTCTCCTTGCAATGAGAAAGCCTGACGTTCATCTTGGTGCCCCAAATTTGCATATGCTGTGATATGGTTTGGCTGTGTCACTATCCAAATCCCAACTTGAATCGTATCTCCCAGAATTCCCATGTGTTGTGGGAAGGACCCGGGGGGAGGCAACTGAATCATGGGGGCCAGTTTTTCCCATGCTATTCTCATGATAGTTAATGAGTCTCATGAGATCCGATGCATTTATCAGGGGTTTCTGCTTTTGCTTCTTCCACGTTTTTCTCTTGCTGCCGCCATGTAAGCAGAGCCTTTCGCCTCCTGCCATGATTCTGAGTCCTCACCAGCCAAGTGGAACTATAAGTCCAATTTAATTTCTTTTTCTTTCCAGTCTCTAGAATGTCTTTATTAGCAGTGTGAAAATGGACTAATATATCCTGGTTTACCAAGTTGTTCTTGGGGCAGGAGGGAAGGCAGGACTTGTTTTCTACTGTCACTTTCTTAGACTCAACAACGGTGGTCACTTACGGGGAGGCCCAGACCCCACTGAGGAAGGAGCACATGGCTGACTGGCAAGAGCTTACATGTGAGGCCACCAAGCAGGGTCAGCAAAACAGACTCTGGGCTCTCTGTGCTGAGCAGGGCCACCAGGAAGACCAGAGCAAAGGTCTTCATAGCGTGGGAACAGCTTATTTTTCCTCTCTCTGCCCAGGCTGTGGGGCAAGTGGCTAACGAACAGTCTAGCCATAGGCAGGAGTAGAAAACTTAAGAGACAACAATCTGGATGCCCTAGGGTTGGTCACTGCTACTAGAATGGTCATGGTTTCTAGGACCTACTCAGTGGGCAAATATAGGAAGTGTTTGTGTGTATATGGTGTATATAAACGTATGCATATATAAGACAAAATACAGCATGAGGTCATACTGATACTTTTAGTTCAAATTATGATTGAGGGATTTTAATTTCATCAACCTCACATCGGTATTTCCTTAATCATCTTGAAAAACTCAATTTTCAACCACACCAATATCATTACTCATTTGATTTGTCCCATAATGTAATATTTTCAGAAAACCAAAACCATTACAACTCACTCAAAACATAATTACCAAAAACAATGCAAGATTTTTCTCTCCCTCAGCCACTCAGGGTTATATCCCACTAAGTATGTACAGTGTTTTAAATACACATTTGAAAGTAGGTTTCTTTTCTGTAGCTGCAGGGTTAACAATCCTGAAACTACTTTCTGTTTAATCTAGGATTCAGCAAATGAGTAAAGATGTTGGGGGTAGCAGGAGTAAGGGCTTTCACTGTTGGAGAAGGAATTATAAAAATGGAAAGGAGGAAAACGAAAATAAACTCTGTGGTGCTAGAATGAATTGGCGGTATCAGTGTTAACTCATGGCTAGGTTTACATGTGTATTTATACACACACATACATGTATGTAAAGATACAGAAATAGATATGGATATGCATGTATATGTATGCACACATACATATACAAATGAATGCATATATTTATACATATGCATATATCATAGTCTCTCTTTCTGTGTGTATTCCAGCTATGTCCACTGAGAAGGCCTAGAAGAAACATCATTGCAGTAGCAGTGAACACACCTAATTCCCGAGTCTTGATTTCTAAAAACCATTCTCCATACGACAGAGCCACAGTGTGCTAGAGAAATGGCTAACTGTAGCTAGGACTGTGGTAGAGAAAGTATAGAATAAACTTGAAACATGTTGCTGTGTCAGATGTAAGAAAGTACTCAACTAATGAGGGAGGCATATGAGAATAACACTTAAAGCTTGAAGAGATTCCCACTGGCTAAGTCTATAACTATACAAAGAGAACATCAAAATAGAGATAGTAATAGATTATAACTCACTGATTAAAAAAAGAACCCATGTATTCATATCGACAAAAATAAATAAATGGGAGGAAAAGGGAACACTCTTCCTTACAGCAAAATGCGAACTAACAAGTGCAGAGTGAGTTAGAAAATCACCACTTTGTACCCATCACAGTGATAACCGATTCAGCCAAAAATAATGGATGCTAAAACCAATGGGTGAAACTTTGATGAGGAATAGATATAGTTTCAACGTACTTCTCCAAAATTACTTATTTTCAAAGGGAAAAACAGAAACTCTATAGTGGAGAATTCTGACAGACATCACCGTACTAAGTGATCAGAGTTACTATCATCAGACAAATGGACACCACGTTTTTCCTGATGCGATATATTGAGAAGATGTGTCAGTTCTGTGGTGGTATTAAACCTAGATCCAATCCTCAGGAAATACAGACGAACCCAAACTGAGGGCAAACCTACAAAAAAAAACTGGCCAGTACTCTTCAAAAACTTGAAGGCCATAAAATAAAAAGAAAAACTGAGAAACCGACTGAGATTAAAGGAGACTAACGAGACATGACAGCTATAAAAGACGTTGAAAGAAACGGTTAAGACTTGAATATGAACTGTAGATTGGAGAACAATATTTTTATTTCTTGATTCTGAGAACTCAACTGTGAATATACAGGGGAAAGTCCCAGTAAACCACACACTGAAAGTATTTAGGGGACAAGCGGGCACAATGCCTGCAACTTACTCTCAAATACCTCAAACAAAAAAGTGATGTATGTGTCTACACATCTAATCAGAAAGAAAGGGACAGGCACAAAGGAGTGAGAAAGAGCAAAAATGGTAGAGTCAATGAGGCAAAATATAAACACAGTTTGTGAATCTGGATAAAGGGTACACTGGAGTACAAAATGAAATTATATAGAAATGAAAATGTATTAAAACATTAAATATAGACCCTTGAAATAATCATTTTCTGTGAGTTATATGCTATTCACTTGATACACAGCTAGAGTCAATTGTTTCATTTTGCTTTTGAGTTTTAGGAATTGATGTTTCCCCTCTTAATTTAACTACACTGAAGGAGATGGTTAAGAAAATAAACTTAGCAACTTTGGTAAATAGAATGGTGCTTATATACTGTAATTCTAATGACCAATAACACCACTAGACCAATATTATATTCTAGTAAATGTATTTTCCACAAAATATGGGTTAGCAATTCTAAAACTACTTGATGTGTACA